ACAATCTTCTCCAGTACAAATAGAATGAATGTCATCCAGGATACAATGAAATCTCACAATATGGGACAGAATTCAAATATCCACAGTCACAAATATAGAAATGACATCAAGCTCTTTTTTCAGACCACACTGCAATTAATGCAAACAAAGGTCATAAAAATAAAGTTTTGGAAAGTTTCAACATACTGAAGAAGTTCATCTTTTTTTTTATATAATAGGATTAAAAGAAAATAAGAAAATGAAGGGGTGTCGTGCCACCAGCAGGTCAGCCTGTACCTTCAGGGTGAGTGCATCAGCAGCCTGATGGTGCCTCAGATTTCCCAATATCCCAAAACTGCCACTGTGCCACTGGCCAAACTCCAACAACTCGGGACCAAGTTTCCCAAGATATTAAATGACCAAAAGTGAGGTATGTGGAAGCCACACCCACAAACCAAATTCATCTCAGCTATACAGGCTCATTTATGGGTCTTGCTTCAGAAACCCATGAATAAATCTCGAAAAAGATCAAAAGCCTCATTTAATCTCAGACCCGCACAAGGTCAAACATATCAGGATACATTGGGAGGGACTCTTGCTCCCACAATCCAAAATCACCGCCATGCCGCCTGACTGACTCCACTGTCTTAGGACGGAACTCACTGAGATAGGATCTGCTGAAAATCTGGGTATGCAAGTTTTGTGACTGAAATCTCCAGGCTTTCTCAGGGGTGGGGGGGAGGGGTTACCTCCCCCAACCTCCCTGTACTTCAGGAAGCCTCAGAAATCATACCCACACACCAAACTGCCACCCAGTTAAAAAAGCTACTCCAGCCTTACCTTCCTGATAAAAATACTGAACATTCTAAACAAACACAATGACCTCGTAGTACTTGCATTGCAAAACAAAATGCATAAAAGAATAGAGAGAAAGAAGAAAAGTACTTGCCACAGAGGCAGGCTGGGGGTGGAAAGGGTGTGTTGTTGGGGGATAGAGGGAGGGGGTAAAATGGCAGTGGGAAATGTCCACTGGTGGAAGGACAGGAGTTGGGATCATTAGATGACTGAAAGAACAGCTTTGTAATCGTCTATCTCATGGATATTCAATTTAAAAATTTTAAAAAGGAGGAGAAAGAAATGAAAGGATTTTTTTGAAATGACTGAGAATGGAAACACAAACTGTAAGAACCTCTAGGATACACGAGATGCACCACGAAGGGGAATTTGAAACAATAAAGGCACAAATTTCTAACATTGTGCTACCTTCGTAGCTTGAGAGACTAGAGAAAGAACAACAAATGGATCATACAGTACATGAAAAGAAATAATAAGAACCGAGCAGAAATCGCTGACATAAAAATCAGGAAAACAATACAAGGATCAATGAAACCAGAGATTTCATTTTTTTTTGTTTTCTTTCAAAACAATTTTTGAAAAAGATCTGACAAATTTTTAATCTAATGTAGACCAAAAAAGTGGGAAAAAAGAAAGCAAACTGAAAAAAATAAAATCAGAGATGAAGGGGAGAAATTACAACAGAAACCTCAAAAATACAAAAGATCTATGAATTACTCTATGACATTAAGCTGCAGAACTTGAAATAGTTGAATTCTTGAATCATACAACCTCTTAAAAGGAGTTGTAAAAAGGAGGAAGGAGAAAATATGAACAGACCATAACAAGAAAGGAAATTAAAAGAGCAATTAAAAGTCTTCCCAACAATAAAAGCCCTGGGTCAGATGAGTTCAGTACTGAGTTCTCTCAAGTCTCAAAGTGAGCAAACTTCTCAAACTTTCCCAACTATTAAGAAACAGAGATCTTTCCAAAGAGTCTCTCTGAAGCCACCATTATCCTCATGCCAAAAGCTTGCAGAGCCATCATTAACAAAGAAATTACAGATCAGTATATTATGAACATTGATGCAAAGACCCTTAACAAAACCTTAACAAAACAAACCCAACAAGCTATCACAAGAATTATGATCGAGTGGGATGTATCCAGGTTTGCAAGGATGATACAGAAAAAAAAAAGAAAAAAAAACATATGATTGTACTAACCTAAGTTCAATCCCCAGCACAGTATACAGTTGCCAGATATTCCCAAGGTGATCCTGGTGCCTGAGGAAAGGAGTGATCCCTGAGCACAGCTGGGCATGGCCCCAAAACAAAACAATAACAACAAAATCCATATGAACATATGAACAGATGCAGAGAAAGTTTTTGAGGATAAGAGAGTTGCAGAACTTTTCACCAAAATCAGGGAAAAATCCAAAAATTTGTATGGAATTCCAAAGGAACTCAAACATCCAAATAATTTTAGGAAAGAATATGTGATCTAAGGGCATCACACTTTTTCATTTCAACCTTGTTACAGAGCTACAGTGATCAAAATGGTATGGCAATGGGTCAGAAAACCGATAAATATAATTTATATTTTGATATATTTTTGTAATTTGTAAACATATATATTTTGGTCAATATAGATCAGAATAGAAAGCCCGCAAATAAACCAATGCTTATATGGTTAATTTTACTTTAGACAAAGAATCAAGAATATTTAGGAAATTAGGGAAGGCTAAATGGTGCTAAGAACTCTGAACAGTCACATGCAATAGAACACGCACTTCCATCCACATCACACACAAAACTCAGCTCTGAAGTAAGACATGAAGTGCTAAAACTAGAGATTTGGCCATTAAAAAAAAAAAAACTATTTTCAACAAAAGCAGAGGCAACAAAAACAAGAGCAAGTGGGATTACCTTAAACTAAAATGACTGTACACATCAAAAGATGTCATTAACAAAGTCAAAAGCCAAACTTTGGAATAGTTGAAAGTATTTGCAAACCACAAATCCAGTATATCACCTGTATTACTTGTCTTCCCGTTGCTCATCGATTTGCTCGAGTGGGCACCTGTAACGTCTCCATGCATCCCTGTCACATGCTAGTGTAGTACACTGGTGTATGCTCACTCCAGGAACACGAAGTGAGGCCCATTATTGTTACTATTTTTGGCATATCGAATACACCACGAGTAGCTTGCCAGACTCTGCCATGCAGGCGGGATACTCTCGGTAGCTTGCTAGGCTCTCCGAGAGGGACAGAGCAATCAAACCCTGGTCGGTCACGTGCAAGGCAAATGCCCTACCTGCTGTGCTATTGCTCCAGCCCAATCCAATATATAGAACTTACAAAATAGTAAAACACAAAGAACCAAACGGTAAAATGGAGATAAAATTTTTTCCCAAAGAAGACAAATAATCAATAAGTTCACAAAAAGTTGCTCAGCAACACAGATAAAACAAGATAAATGTTAGTGGGATGAGGCTGAGGAGATGGTGCAGAAGTTAGCGTACTTGCTGTTTAAATAGCCAGGCTGACCCAGTTTGATCCCCTGTCCTCACCAGGAGTGATCCCGAGCACAGAGCCAGGAGTAAGCTCTGAGCACTGCTAGGTGTGACCCAACCCTCCAGGCCCACCCTTGCGAAAATGTTAGTGGGGATGTGGAGTAAAAGAACTATTGTACATCCGAGAGTATTACAGTAGTAAAATTAGCTTTACAAAGCCAAGTATTACATGGTGGCACAAGTGAAATGTTAAAAAAATCAAACTCATAGCACAAAGTAGAAAAGTAACCAGAAGCTAAGATTTGTAAAATGTCACTTTAACCTTTTAAGATGAATATGATTTGAGGATGTAGCATATAACATTGTGACAATATGCTAGCAATTTTTTAAATAAACTATAACAATACTGTAGCGCTGCACTGTATCACAGCGGGGCCCAGTAACGGCTCCATTGTAAGACTTGTTGTTACTGTGTTTGGCATATCGAATATGTCATGGGTAGCTTGCCAGGCTTTGCCATGCAGGCAAGATACTCTCGGTAGCTTGCTGGCTCTCCAAGAGGGGTGAAGGAATTGAACCCAGGTCGGCTGGGCCAGCCGCATACAAGGCAAATGCCCTACCACTGTGCTATCACTCCAGCCCAACACTACGATACTACTGAAATATGCTGAGTTTAGAAAAATACACAAAAGGTTAGGTGAGTGAAAGTTAATGGACAGACATGTTAAAACACAATCTGCTCACATGTGTACATATACAAAATCATCACAGTGTATAGCTGAAATGTCATATAATTTCTCATTGTGCAATGAATCTTAATAAAACTACAGGGAATAAAATAATTGATGAACTAACTTAAAAGAATTTTAAATATCAGTGGAAACATAGAAAATCTTTATATTTATTTCCTTTATATTTACTGCTTAGCAAGCTCTGAAAAGAATTCATGTGATCAAGGTCTAAATTATCACAGTATACTGAATTAATATTCCAACTTAGTTTTACTATACTTGAAAGCACAAAACTGACATACACATACATATTATGATATTATATTAAATTATATGTATTATATTAAATCTAGCTCAGCAATCAATTAACAAATATGACAAGTCAGTATGTAACAACAAAAATGATGAAGATCATACAAAAATGGGAGTATCATATATATAAAAGTATAAAATGTTAAGATATGGCATTATGATTAAGATAATGAATTATCTCTATATCTGTACCTTACCAAATTTTATTTTATTGAACTTTAGAAGCAAAGAGTATTCAGAAGCATATTAGAGAGATACAGTTTAAAAACTCCAAATTCTAAATTCACTGCTTCTAAAGCTACTTAACAGTTTTGTGTAGACATCAAAAACTTCTTTTGAATTAACCCTTACTCCAAGTCCTCTTAAAATGTATACATCTCATGTAAGTACTGTACTGCACACTGTTTATTTGGGGGTTAAAATTTAAGCCACTAAGAACATAAAAATAGCATTTGAAACATAGTAAAATTCCATTAAAATCACATCAGTGCTAAAATAATATCACAAAGATATACAAACAATCACGTTAATTCTAAAATGCACAAGTCTGTGTTTGTTAAAATTTGTGCCTTTCCTCTGCATAGTTCAATGAAATCTACAATATCACAACAGAATAAAGCAAGTGTCTCACCTAGTTACTTTACAGTTCGATTCAATTAAATCAGTTTCAAAGTCAAGCAATCTGGAAGGCAGATTATATTCCAAGGAGGACGTTAGTCTCTTCAAACGCAAGAGTCCAACACAGAATTTTGCTCCCATCTCTTCCAACTCCCGAGTACCAATCTGTAAACCCTAAAAAAAAAAAAAAAATTATACATAAAGCTAGAAAATTTGCTATTCTCTGGATTTATCTCTTTAAGATTAACAAAAGGAACTTAAGAGTATGAATAAAATTAAATTATGTATAGAACTAGGACTCGATAAGCACAAAAAGTCTTAATTTCATGAGTACTGTTAGGTCAAATGAAAAACTTCCTTAATGAAGGTAGTTTCAAAATCTTTATTCTTAATGACTATATGTACACTATTTTCACAACATACTGGGAACTATAATGAGACACCTGGAAGTTCTACTCTTGGGTTTTAGATGTAATTAAGTATTTTCATGAGATTGTGGAGCATGGCAACAGGAGCCAGAGCAGATTAGATCTGTATAGCAGATAAGACCTGTTCCTGCATAGAGACACAGTAGGGAGTGTCTGGGTGCATTTGACAAGCACAGGCCTTTAGTCTCACCCAACCCCCCAAGAATTGTCTCCTACACTTACCGAGTCATTCCTAATTGCAGCATTTAGCCCTAATTGGGATTATGCAGTGGCAAAGCAGAGTTGGAAAGATCAATAACACTAAACTTCATGTGATCGGACCACCTCTTAGGTTGAGACTCTCTACAAAATGTGTGTGTATTTGGCAATAAAGTGAGTGGCCATCAGCTGTCTCATGGAGTGGTTTCTCTGAGCGCCCATCATCCTTCACTCCAAATCTGCCTGGACCGAGTATGCAATGTGGGCACTTTGGGGAAAAACTGTTCCTCAACAATGAGACCTTGCTATTATAACCACTACTTGGCAGGGCTTCAATGTGGATATCTGAACATTATCTTACACTTTTACACCGGAGGATGGAAGAAATTAGCACGTGAAAAACAAAAAGAGGGTGATTATAACAAGAATCCCAACTCTAAGATAATGAGTTAGTGGTAAAATAAGCTTCTACATTCCCAAATTAAGAATGCCCAATGAAAGTTTTGTCTACAACACTGTGTAGAGAACAGTTACTATTGCCCCTATATGCCCCCCTCTTTTGGGATCGAGGGGGAGGTCTGGGCTGTACCCACTGGTACAGGAGACTGTATGTGGTGCGGCATCATCAAACTGGAGTCAGGGGGATGCAAGGAAATTGCCTCAAGGCCTGTACTCTCTCTCATAACTTTTTAAACAGTATTCCTAATAAGCCAGTCTAACATTTACAGTTACATGTCACTGAAGCGGCATCCAACAGCCACTACTTGGAGACATAGAACTGTACTGGGCTGAAGATATTTCTGGAGTCTAAACAGGATACAGGGGCTGGACAGTGCAGCAGGTACGTAGTTTGCTTTCCTTCCAAGTGGCCAACCTAGGTTCAATCACCAGTACCATATATGGTCCTCTGAACCTGATGTCCTTGAGCACAGAGTCGAGAGTAAGCCCTCTTACACTCTGCCAGGTGTGACCCAAACACCCATCCCCAAAATAAAATTTAAAGAAGGATGTTTAAAAACAAACAGAGACACCATCACACATGTGCATAAAGACTTTAGTTGCCAATGGCATCCTGGATGAGGTACTAAACCTGTAAGGGCTTGTTGAAGAGAAAAAGGAAATGTAGTGTAAAAGGTCAGTAGCTTCACCCAGCAGTACCCAGAGCTGGAAGCGATGCAACTCCTGGACCCAGCTGAGAATGCCCCGTTGCAAGGATGGTGTGGGATCACGAGGCTTCACATGGCTTCACCCCCTAATGAACACACTGCACTTCTCTTCAGTGTGTACTTTCATTCTCAGTTAACTTGAAGTTGAAAACTGAGCTGCCTTCGTCGTCTGGTGGAGGGATGGGTACTCGAACATTGTATAATTGAAACCCAAGCACAAAATTTGTAAGTCTACAACTGTACTTCATGGTGTCTCACTAATAAAAATAAAAAAAAAAACCTTAAAGGATTGCACTGCTGGGGTACCTGGCCACAGGGTTCACAGGCTATAAGTCATGTCAGTGCTTGTTAGATTTTCACATAAAACTCAATCTCCTACGTGAAAACTTTACGCCAACAAAAGCTGAAGGTGAAGGCGAACACTACAAAGTCACTTTCCAGGGACAAAACGAAATGCACACCGAAACTGAAGAGAAACTAAACCAGCCCAAATGAGTCCATGATAACTGAGCAAATGAGAAGTTTGTGCATTTCCGAAACACACAAGTAAAATGACTTTAGTGGGGCTGGAGTGATAGTACAGTGGGTAGGGCATTTGCCTTGCAAGCGACCAACCCGGGTTCAATTCCCAGTATCCCGTATGGTCCCCAAGCACCAACAGGAGCAATTCCTAAGTGCAGAGCCAGGAGTAATCCCTGTGCATTGCCGGGAGTAACCCAAAAAGCAATAAAATAAAATATAATAAAATAAAATGGCTTTAGTAGTATATAAGAACATTCTTTCTTTTTTCCTTTTTTCTTTTTTTTTTTTTTGGTAACTTTGGTTTGTTTGGGGCCACAGTGGTAGTGCTCAGGGCTTACTCCTGGCCCAGGTAATGATCATTTCCGCAGGCTCGGAGAACCATAGCAGCATAGAGGATTAAACTGGGGTTGGCCACATGCAACGCAAGCATAGACTATCTCTCTGCCTCGCATTATGCTTTCTTGATTTAGAAGCTTCAGAAAGACTATGCTTATTTCTAAATTAGTTGATATTAATTAAAAATACATGTCTATTTATCTTTGTTAAACTTTCTTAAAATACTAGATTCACATAACTTATTAGCTAACATTGGCAAATATGAAAAGTGTATTTCATGTATTTCAGGGTACGGAATGCAGAATAGAGGAACTTTGGACTTAACCAACTTGCTATCAAGGTAAAACTGCTCTTTTAATAAATGTGTATGGGACAGAGAGATAGGATAGCAGGTGCAGTGCTTGCACTTTGCTGACCCAGGCTTGATCCCTGAGCAAAAAAGCCAGGAGTATCTGATCTCTGTGATAGGACCCCATCCGCCCACCCTGAGGTCCAAGGCTGGCACAGGATTCAGGTGGCACCTGTTGTGTTTTAGTGAAGCACCAGGAGCCTCCCAGGTCCCTGGGCCGCTGCACTGGTTTGCTCCAGCCATACCACAGGTCTTGCTGAACTGTGTGAGTAGAGGCTGGGAAGGTGGCACATAAGGAACCAACCACAACCTCGCCAGACTCTCGGGGCCACTCAGCACAGCATGTGATGCTCACAGTCCAGCCACTGCCCAGCTAATAGCACCAGGCTACACCCAAAATCCTAACAAACAAGATGGGCCCAGCAACCTACCAGCCACCCAGTTGCAGCCAAGTGTAACCACCTTGGCAGTAGTGGATTCCTGCCAGTTCCCACCTGAGTGGCTGGGATGAATCTGATGTCACTGAGGCGAATGTAGGCCCAGCAAAGCCTGGAGGCCTTCCGGAGGTGCAGGTCAGGACATCCCATTCAGATGTCCCCAAGGGGTGGGTGGAAGAGAGTTAAAAAGAGTGAAAAGAGTTGATAAACTTTCCTTCCAATATATTACAATAGACTGAAAATGTCAATAGTTAGGTTCTCCACCTAAAACAAACTCACCAGTTATAACATGTTCACATTTTAATAGGAACCAATCAAAATATTTTCACTCTTTTCAAAGTTATAGCCATCTTTTCATTTGATGTATATGAAAACCATTATTTCCTCTTTCTCCATGCTAATAACAAAAAACAAAACAATGTGGAAAAATTTTTTATGGCCAGGAAAGAAAAATTAAACTTCAGGTATGCTGTTTACCTATCAAAGGGGTAGTTCATTTGTTTTCTGTTAGTTAAATTCTCAATCTTCAAAATTAAAGAACCAAAATCACTTAATATTTTATTGGCCTTTTATTTCTAACGTAAAGTTTAACTGGTGGTTGTTTCAAATAAAAGCTCATGACTCAAAAGCAAGTAGTTTTAGTAAAGAAAGAAAATCTAAGGAAGGGATTAGACATTTAAATCACAGACACAAATACAAAAATCCTATTAAGAATCACTCTGGGGCCAGAGTGATAGTACAGCAGGTTGGGAAAACTTGTCTTGCATGTGGCCAACCTGGGTTCGATTGCCAGCACCTCATCGGGTCCCCTGAGCACTCTCAGGATTGATCCCTGAACAGAGAGCCAGGAGTGACCTTTGAGCATTGCTGGATGTGGCACCCAAAATAAAAGAATAATGTCTCTATTTTTAAAGGCATAAAAAATTCTTACAGCCAATTAAATTGAGATTCTATTAACAACTTACTATTTCACGTGGTGCATATAAATTACTAACTAGTATTTAAATGGATTCCACTGTGTCCCTTCTTAAAAACTATGAACATAGTAACCAAGACTGAACAAGAACCTCAAGCAAGGCACTTAGTTCAGAGAACATTTTTAAGTCACTCTTCAGACTGTCATGAGGACTGGAAAGACAGATAGCTGAGGCTCAAGCAGAGGCCTGGCATAGAGGGGCCACGCTCCAGGTACCTCACAATGTCCTGAGCACCACCCCAGGGCTCTCTTGTTCCTTAATGCTACTGGGAAGGCCCGAGAACCAAAGCAGCAGGCCTGCTCGTGACTCAGGAGCTTAGGTACCGCCCAAAGTCTGAGGCTGGAGTGCCCCCCAAATTTGCTGAGCACCGGCCTAAAGGCACCACTACCTGGAGGGAACATTACACAGAGTGCAGCCCCAACCCTCCTACCCCTGGGGGTACTGACCAGCCCACTAATAGCTGGGTGTGCTGCAGACAGTGAGGCAAGTGTGTGCTCCAGGACTTAAGACCACCCCTTTCCCCTGCCATCCTGACAGAAGCAACAAAGGCCAAAACGGGAGTCAAAGAGATTGTGTGATCCCACCCCACCCGTGCAAATCACAGTGACCCAACAACAGACACATCATCCAGCAGAGATCTGAGGAGCACAGGTGCCTGTGGGAAAGGGAACTTCTGAGTGTTTTTCACGCCTGCAGGTCCAGAGATTGTTTACCTTATACCGCCCCTGATCACAGCCACACAGAGTACTCTCCATCGTGTAGCTCCTCTGCACGCCGATCTCCCTCCAGACGACAACGCGTGCTGTGGATTCTTTAGATTTTTCCACCACAAAGCTACAGCTGCTCATGCAAAATGCTGGAGCAATACTGCTTAATATCTTAGGCAAAGTCTGCACATTAAAAGAATACAAGATAAATCAAGAGTCTAATTCAAAGTATTTTAAGTCATTTTAAAATATGTAAAACATGGTTGGCAAGATTAAAAAAAACTTGTCATTTAAGTTACTTCCCCAGGAGATTTTTACACTGCAAATGTCCATCACCTATAAATGATCTAAGACAATCACAACCAAAATGGTGACAGTATTTTCTGCAACTTTTTCTTTTAGTTTTTGCTTTTCGGCTCACACCTGGTGATGCTCAGCGGTTACTTTGCACTCAGGAATCACTCCTGGCAGTGCTCAGGGGAACATACAGGATGCTGGGAATCGAACCCGTGTCGGCCGCGTGCAAGGCAAACACCCTACCCGCTGTGCTATCACTCCAGACCCTTTTCTGCAACTTTTAGATATTCTTAATTTCACCCAAAAGTGTAAACCTGGTAGAAAATGCTGATAAATTCTGAAAAAAAAATGGTGACGATTGGAGAAAGAATCAGAGATATCAACATAGACCACACATCTACACTGATAAATTGTGACACTGGTCCACATGTTTAGAACTAAATATACAAGTTTTTTTAAAAGAGGAAAGAGCCCAGAATTAGAACTAAATGTGCTTGTTAAAGTCAGTAATTAGTGGAGAAATGAAATGATCATTCACTAAGGATTGGACTGCATCCTGAAAAACAGGATGATTAGTCTTCCTGAAATCAAGTCTAACTAGCTTGAAATTTAACTTGAAACTAGTAAGAAAAATTCTAGATGAAATAAAAAAACTTCAGTAAACTGTACTTTTAAAATCTTAACATGAGAGGGGCTGGAGCAATAGCACAGTGGGTAGGGAGTTTGCCTTGCACGCAGCCAACCCAGGTTCGATTCCCAGCATCCCATATGGTCCCCTGAGCACCGCCAGGAGTAACTCCTGAATGCAGAGCCAGGAGTAACTCCTGAATGCAGAGCCAGGAGTAACCCCTGTGCATAGCCGGTTATGACCCAAAAAGCAAAAAAAAAAAAAAAAAAAAAAAAAAAAATTAAATAAGTAAATAAAATCTTAAGATGAGAAACATTTCTGTAAACCTCAAAACCCATTTTCAAAACACCAAAGAAATAAAAGTTTAAAATTATTTTATACATGATAAAAATTTTTCTAATGTGTTTATAAGTTTCTATTCTTAAAACAGTAAGATGATGAATACAAAAGCGAGAATGAGGAAAACTTATTTTACAAAAGTGATAATTGTGCAGATGTCAAAAGATATACTCAATCTCTTGTAAAGTCATATTTCCACAAATTTTAAATCGCCAGATTTTTTTTCACCTAGCAAATATGAAAGTAGAACGCAGGATAGATATTAAAAACACATTTTTTCACTGTATTTGGGAATATCAACTTTTATATACACTCTTTATGAAGGACAATTTGGTGACACTAATCAAATGACCACTCTGAGGACTTTAGTTAGTATGTTTTGGAACACCTATACAAATGCACAGGAACTCGCTATACAATTGTATAGGGATATCCCACCTCCTTGTCACAAAGACTGAAACAAATCTAAAAAGGCGGACACAGAAAGTTGAAACGCAAACATTTCTACATGAAAAACAAGTTGCTGTGTAGCATGAAACAAAAGCAAAGGAAAAACTCCACTCACTACATTCATGAATGAACGTGCTCCAGGCAAGTCACACAAAACATGCGGGAGAGCAGATTTATCAGTGACAGAGAGAAAGCAACTCTGACTTATCATTTTTTATATTCCTGGAGTGAATCCATTTTATATATGACTCATTTTATTTAGGAAAGGGGCAGAAGAAAGGAGATGCTTAAAAGATAATGTGCTCTGAAGTCTGCTAGAGACTGTAGAGTATTGCTGAAGTCTGTCCTGCAAGAGCACTGAGGGACTCTGAGGCGGAGGAGGGCTGGCACCGGGCCAGAGCCTGCTCTCACTTCACGCAAGGCAGTTTGCTGTCAGTAAAGACCGTGAGCATGCGTGATCCTTAAGACTTCTCCAGCCCTGTCAAGACTGACCCATGAAGTCTGAGATGACTCGTTGGTACTGTAGCATGTGAGGTACAAGTAAAAATATTTATTTTTAAAAAAGAATAAAAGAAGGGGCCAGAGCGATAGCACAGCAGGTAAGAGCTTCTCTGGAATCCCAGATGGTCCATGAGTCTGAGGCGTGACCTGATTGTAGAGCCAGGAAGTAAACCCTGAAGCATTAACAGTTGTGGCCCAACACCCACCCTCCTGTGAAAAAAAAAGTACATTAAAGGTCACAAAATAATATAATTATTAGATGCCTGCACTTATACCATTCAGCCATTCAATCAACAAACCTTATTTATTAGGAGCACACAGTCAAAAAACCCCAGAGTCCTTGTCTCACTCGGCTGTTTCACTCAGAAACCATGGTCTGTAATACTTACTGCTTACCAGCTAGTAATTTTTATTTAGGAAATAATAGTGAAAGATTTTTAGTGTTAAAATTAGTTTTAAACATGAAAAAAGTTACAAAAATATATTTTTATACATCTCACTCAGCGACTCATAATACCATCTGCATACATAAACATAATATAATCATTAAAACAAAATTTTTTTTTTTTTTTGCTTTTTGGGTTACACCTGGCGATGCGCAGGGGTTACTCCTGACTCTGCACTCAGGAATTACTCCTGGCAGTTCTTTGGAGACCATAAGGGATGCTGGGAATCAAACCGGGTTGGCCGCCCTCCCTGCTGTGCTATCACTCCAGCCCTAATTCTATGCCATTAAAATATAGAATGAATTCAAATTTCATTCACTCTTCTCATGTTGTTTCAGGATTCCACATGAAATCAAATACTGCATATAATTTTTATTTCTCCTTTGTTCATGCATCTGCAAGGGGAGGTTTCTTAATCTTTTATCTTTCACATCTAGGCAATTCTGGACAGTTCTGGGCAGTTATTTCATCATATGCCCCTCAATTTTATATGTTGCACTTTTTGTGGGGAGGCCACCCTCAGCAATCCCAGAGGTCACTCCTGGGTCAGCACTCAGGCAGTACAGAACACAGGGGATGCTGGAAATCAAACCCAGGATGGCTGCTTGCCAGGCAAATGCCCCACCCTTTGAACTATATGGTCCCTATATGTGTTACTTTAAAATTTTTTCCATGAAACATAAACTTTGTTCTAAAAGGACAAAGAAGTACTATGCTTCATCACCAAAATATAAATAAGTATTTATTCATAATCTACCATTTCCCAAATTAGTGGCAAAAAATAAAAAGTTTCACAATGTGGTAGTAAGAATATTGACCCACTAAACTCCTAATTAATCCCCAGGGCCTACACAGCCAATAGGACTTGAGGTGTTACTAAGTGCTGGAACTGGAAATGGGGATTATTCCAGTGGGTCCAAATCATCCAAAGGGGCCTCACATGGGAAAGTCGAAGCCAGGACAGTCTAGGAGGGAGGGAAGGACGGCAGCAGAGCTCAGAATGACCGCTGCTGGCAGAGACCCAAGGTGATGGCATACAGCCAACCAGCAGAAGGGGGAGGGAAAAAAAGGGAGTTCACTTACAAAAGTTATCCTAAAATACACAAGAAGAACTGCAAGCAGAAAAAAACTAAGCATAATTTTTCAAAAAAAAAGTAAGAAAGGAAAAAGTGCCCTACTAGGTATCAATTGGGCTGGAGCAATAGCGGGGCTGGAGCAATAGTACAGCGGTAGGGCATTTGCCTTGCTCGCGGCTAACATGGCCAACCCGAGTTTGATTCTTCCGCCCCTCTCAGAGAGCCCAGCAAGCAAGATACTACAAGTATCTTGCCTGCATGGCAAAGCCTGGCAAGCTACCCGTGACATATTCAATATGCCAAACACAGTAACAACGAAGTCTCACGATGGAGACGTTACTGGGCCCACTGGAGAAAATCGATGAACAACGGGAGGACAGTGATTCAGTGATACTAGGTATCAATGCTTATAAATCTATAGCAGCTAAAGCACGTGCCGTGCAGGGAAACAGCAGCAAGAATGACTCCAGTGGGCTTCACGAAGCCCCTGCAAAGAGAGAGGGCACTGAGCAGGCAGCAGAGGAAGGACACAGTTAGGAAATGGGGCTTAGACAACTGGTTATCCACAAGGAAAATGAAATTAGATCCCCACATGTCATCCTAAACAGATCACAATCTGAATGTAAGAAGCAAAAGCTTTTAAAAGAAACCTTTACAGTGAAAAATGATACCCCACAATGGCAAACTTAAGTGAATCTGAGTAGTCGACACATATCAGATTATTCTCCAAGCTTCCTGCAAGCTGGAGACTGAGGCCCGGCGATGCTGACCCGGTAGCCGGCGTCCTCCAGCACGTCACAGGAGGCAGCATGCTCCCCGGTGTGGCAGACCGTCTCCTTGATGCTGCAGCCGTACATGAACACGTTCTTCTTCCGGGAGTGGCCATGGTAGTCACAGTAAACCTCCAAGAGATAATGTGATTCTCAACGTTACAACCTTTCAACACATAGAAGCCGGACAATCAACATCAAGGTAATATCCAGCCTATTTCTTTGTTCTCTATTATACGCAGGTCATGACTTGATTATAAGAAAGAATAAAAGTAATGTTTAGTTTTGGAGATGAAGATCTATGATTCATTCTATACTAGCCAAATTTTAACTTATTTTTTAACTTTTTTAACAAATTTTAACTTATTTCTTTTAACTTATTTTATTTATTAATATGGTTATAAAGGTTCGGCCCCAAGGGCTGGAGTGATAGCACAGTGGATAGGGTGTTTGCCTTGCACAAAGCTGACCTGGGTTCGATTCTTCCATCCCTCTCAGAGAGCCTGGCAAGCTACCAAGAGTATCCCGCCTGTACGGCAGAGCCTAGCAAGCTCTCCGTGGTGTACTCGGTATGCCAAAACAGTAACACCAAGGCTCACAATGAAGACGTTACTGGTGCCCGCTCAAGCAAATCAATGAACAACAGGATGACAGTGCTACAGGACAGTTATAAAGTTGTTTCTAACTGGGTTTCAGTAATACAATGTTCTGACATCCGTCCCTTCACCAGCGTATGATTTCCACACCAATGTTCCTAGTTTCCCTCCTGAGAAAGGCTAAATCTTTTTCAGGTCTTTTAGCAAGGCCTAACTTCCACTCTCTTCTTTTTTATCTACTGACTTACTGCACTGGTCTTTGCGACCCCAAGGGTTACTTCAACATTCACGGAATTTAAAAGATAATCAAAATGTTCTCTCTCAGACACAAATACAAAAAAAGAGATATAGTTTTATTTTAAACTTCTAAGAAATAACTAGCAATGATGTGAGGTCACTGGCAGTGGTGTAAATGCTATGACTCTGGGCATTTAAAACTTTATTGTAACCATGTTACCTCAACTACTATATGAAAGTACATAAGTTAAATAAAAAGCATCACTTTTTTAAGTGAAAAAGAAAGACTCACATGACTCACATCATTTTTAAAGTGAAAAAGAAAGAAATACACTCCACTGCATAAGTTTGTTTTCTCATTATCAAGCAAAGTTAAAACAAATTTCAACACAATCATAATGGATAATTTTAACACAATCATAATGGGAAAATTCTGCCAAACAAAATTGTTGGGCCAGAAGCAGCCATGGCCCAAGCGGCATCCCGGCACATTTCTCCCAAGAATCACTGCTCACAGCAGATACCCTTGAGCACAGAGGCAGGAGTAAGCCCTGAGCACTACCAACTATGACCCAACCCCCTTCACGATCCCCCAATCTTCCCCCCAACACAAATATACACCAAGAAAATCAAAACAGAGTTAAAACACAATTAGCTTCTAAACCAACAGCGCCACTCACCAGCGGCAGACGGTTCACCGCAGCTAGGTACTGCAGCAGACCCTTGGCGTGGTAGATGGTCGGGTGGAGGTCTGGGTTCGGGCTCTGCCACTGCCTGTTCAGGTCCTCTCCACTCAGGGAGCAGCGGTGACTGCGACAGGAGCCACATATTTGTACCAGTGAACTTTCATATTTGTGATTCTTCTATTTTATTCCATTAAGTATTTAAATGAGTAAAGACTGTGGGCTCAGCCAATTGCAAATTATATTATTAAACATACCCCAGCATTTGCTACATGAAAAATCTTGCATTACATACTCTTAACTGTGGTGAATTTTCATATTTATACTGCAAAAATCTTCAAATCATATAGAAAATTCTCAATTCAGAGTTTTTGCTCCACAGTTTTACTCCACAATTTATAAACTTTATGGTAATATTTTCTATTAGACTATATTATTGCTCGAGCGGGCCCAGTAACGTCTCCATTGGAGACTTTGTTGTTACTGTGTCTGGCATATCCAATACTCTCGGTAGCTTGCCGGGCTCTCCGAGAGGGACTATATTATAATTCTCATTTTTTCCTACTATTAGCCTGTTTCTTAACATGTTAACTTTGTAAGAGTGCTATCGGGGCATTCCTGAGATAGATAAGCACAAACATAGTATATAGTCTTACAAGACCCAATAGCCTTCGATTATTCATAGGAATTACAATTCTAAACAATAAAAAGTGATTTAGAAATTTCATTTATAATTCAAGATTCCTGACTGACATCACATGCTCAGCCTCCAGTAGTGACCCAACCGCTGACCCAGCTGTCCGGAACCTCCGGGAATGTCCCTGGCGGGCCCAGAGCAGCACTGAGAAGTCCAAAATAATAAAAGGCTATTTTTTAAAACCTCATTTTAGTTCAATAAGCACAAAATTCTAAAAAGAATATATTTCAGTAAGCAATAAAACGTGGTTTATTAAAATGTGAGACATATAATACTACATGAAGGAAAGAACAAACGAGGGTGTGCTCAACTTTACGAGGCTCATTAGAGCTCAAGTAAATCCCACCTTTCACAAACGCTATGGAGGCCTTGGCTAAGCAAGAACAAACGGAATGTGTGATCAATAACCCATGACCACGTGAAATACTGTCCAGTGCTTTCTGTGGAAAGGGTTACTAATCAGAAATAGGTAAACACCTTCTCAGGTCAAAAGAGGTTAGCAGATGGAGTTAATACTCCACATCACTGAAAAGGTGTTCCAGAAGACTCTAACTCTTAGAACACGCTACAAGGAAGGAGGGAAAGAGGAGGGAGTGAGGAGCGGGGCGTGGACATGGGGCAGGGATACAACTCACAGGCAGAACACATCTGACATATGGAGTTTGAGCACTGGCACCACGTGGCCCTTTGAGCACTGCTGCGTGAGAGCCTGGTGGCCTCAAGCACTGCCTGGAGTAGCCACTATTTACAGAAACAAATGACAAATTTGAGATTGGGAGGAGTGTAGGCTGAGATTTGGGGCCATATCTGGCAGTGAACAGAGATATCAGACCTGTGCTCAGGGGCTGCCACCCAGCGTGTTCAAGGGCCATCTTGAACATCTGGGATAAACTAGGGTAGGCTAATGCCAGGGAGGTGAGTGCCCTGACCCTGTGCCATATCTCTGCCCCAAAGCAACAATGTGAAAGAAATATTTCTCATTTCTGACACTCTGACATTTTCTGAAATAATTTAAGCATGATATACAGATACTTTATATCATAGTTCATAAATAATCAGAATTTCTTCAAATACACTACCATAAGTATATAAAATTAAATATATTTTATTAAAAATTCATCATATTCTCTACCAAAATTTTAATAGGAAAAGTACATTTATTTCCCAAATTAACTTATGCATCATTTGTCAACAAGTTTATACAGTCCAGCTACAGTAATCTATAATATTTCTATAACTGTTGCTTAACTTACTTTCCATTGATGACACCATCTGGATTTAGCATGGGGACAATTTTAAAAATATAGGATTCTCGTAAGGTCTGAGCAGTGGGGTTATTGCTCATGAGGTACTCTAGTGTCCCTTTCATCACCCAACTTGCATTCGTCTCTCCAGGGTGGACTCGAGCAGATAAGAAAACATAAGGACGATTCCCTAAAGCACACAGAAACCTCAGTTACAATGAGCAGTTACTGAAAGCTGGCACTATGCTTGATTTTCAGGCATTACAAATACTTCTCAATCATGTACATCTTTGCAGCAGTATATCTCATGGTGAGTCAATTAAAAAAATTCTTAACTACTTCTATTCAGTTTTGAAATATGATCAAAATTCACAGAGGAACTCACTGAACACCTGCTGGAGGGTCTGAAGAGGAAGCAAATGCAAAACCCATAAAAGCCAGAGCTAGAAGAAGCTCAACACAACACACCCGGAAACAGGCAACTGAGACACTTATTCAACATCATCTTGGTTTTATAAAGAACAAGTAAGAAGATTTAAATAAAAAATTATTTCTCATAAAAAAGTGAAGATAATTATCCATATGCCATAGTCACTGTGTCACACACAGCGGGGAAAAAGGTTCAGATTGCTCATGTAGTTGCAAAGTACACATTTAGATGCACATACCTAAAAGAATCATCCCAGTTAAGTGCTATTTCCAGGCATGGCTGGTTCATTCTCATCTTTGAGAATAGTGCTTTATCAAAATTAAATTTTAATTACAACAGCCACACACTTGAGGAAACTTAAAATTTACATGGCACAGGGCTGGAGAGATGGCACAGTGGGTAGGGCATTTGCCTTGCACGTGGCCGACCCAGGTTCGATTCCCAGCATCCCATACTCCTGAGCACCACCAGGAGTAACTCCTTGAGTGCAGAGCCAGGAGTAACCCCTGTGTATCGCCGGGTGTGACCCAAAAAGAAAAAAAAACATTTCTATGGCACGGGATTACAAAACTTTTCACCGACAGCACCAAAATATTTTGTAGGTTTCTGCTCATTTATTAATAAAATTAGTTGTAAGCATTTTTAATCTATGTGCTATTGCATGACCCAATAAAACAGTATGCTAAGTGCACTGCACTTGGGCATGATTTCTCTGGATGAGAAGCACAGGATTAGTATCAAAGGAAATCTTATAGATCAACTGCATAGTGCTCCTTCACTTTCTCCATGAGTAAATAGACCAAAAGCCGGCCAAGAGAGAGGCAGCAGGAGGCCCACAGCTAATTGGAACTCTGCTGCCTGCTTCTAACCTGAACCTGATCTCCCTCCCAGATGCCAGGTAGGAAGCAGGGCAGGGGCACTCACGGAACTGGTAGATGTGCTCCTGGTACTTGGACTCCGGCACCGCGGTGATGGTCACCAGTGGGCAGCTGTTCCCACACAAGGTCTCACACAACACGTCATTTCGAAAATAGATCTGCTGAGGATTGTGTCCTGATTCCAATTTCTGAAGGTGCATCTTGACAAGAAATTCAAAAGCAAAGTTTGCAATCACTTAAAAATGCCCTATGATGCAGAGAAATAAAGACAGGCCCAGCGCTGCAGAACTAGAAGCGAATCAGAGCTCTCCTCCCTCTGGAAACTCCCTGGGCCAGAGGTGCTCCGACCAGGAGAAGAGCAATGCGGATGGCACGCTCCCCAGGCAACACCGCACTGGCGCATGGCAGGTGCGGGGAAAACACCAGCAGCACTGAGTGGAGTCGGGAACATGCCAAATGCTCCCACTACTCCAGCTGGCCTCTGCTGGCAAACGGGGTATGAAAAATCTTCAGGTCTCCAAGGACTTACGAATTCTGAGATCGTAACTGTTTGGAGAATGGCCCACAATGCAAAGAGTTACAACCACGAAGTGCAGACTGCTCTCAGCATTTTCCTTCTGACGGGAGAGAGCAATTCTGCACACCCAGGACTGTATCACCTACATTAACATTAAAAATGCCAATGTATGTAAACAAAACTATGGCACAGCGGTAGGGCGTTTGCCTTGCACGTGGCCACCTGGCCAACCGGGGTTCAATTCCTCTGCCTCTCTCGGAGAGCCCGGCAAGCTACCGAGATTATCTCACCCAAATGGCAAAGCCTGGCAAGCTACCCATGAAGTATTCGATATGCCAAACACAGTAACAACAAGTCTCACAATGGAGACGTTACGTTACTGGGCCTGCCCGAGCAAATCGATGAATGACGGGACAACAGTGCTACAGTGCTATGTTTACTTGCATATAATTTTCTTTTTATAGCTAATAATTTACATACACATATTCATAATAATTAGATTATTCAATACACTGTTCTTTCAAATCACAAGTTTTAATTATTTCAGTATAGGATTATATAAAAAATAAGTAGCTAAATCTTTTATTTTAAACTCCTCTGCTGAGTCCCCAGTGTTTCCATGTGTTCATATGCACAATCTGGTCTACTGTGTGGTAACTGTCATCAGGGGCTGGCCAAGCACTGGAAATATAAAAAAAACAAAACGTTGTGAAAAATGGTGCTGAGGGAATTTGAGGGAAGGCGGCTGAGTCTTGACATCAGAAAAGCTCTTCTACCAAAAAAAAAAAAATAATAATAATAATCTCATTTAAGCAGAGAAAATGAGGAAAGAGATAGAGAGAATTCCAAGCAGACAGGTGCAGAGTTAGAGAGGTGCTTCGGAGAGCGTCACGGGGAGGGCGGGGGCAGGACGATCAGGGACCAGTAGCTGTGCCCACATGCAGCCCTCAGGCAGCAGGGACCTGGGCAATCCCCAGCACCACAGGACCAGCAGCACCACACTCTAACCAGCCTGGCTGGCCAACATCACTGGGAGGGCCCCAGGCACCCTGAGCACAAGCTGGGGAGGCCCCGCCCCCAAAGGAAGGAGTGACAGAATCTGTCACAGAGCTTGGCAGACAGACAGTTACAAATGATATACGGACCACCGCCTTGCTTAAAATTTAATAGAAATCTTTTTTTATTTTTAAAAATAATTATTTAATTAAAGAACCATGATTTACAAAGTTATTGAGAGCTGAATTTTATTTCAACACTAATCCCCCCACTAGTGTTACCATGTTTTGTGCCCCCCAACTCACTCACACCTGCCAACTTGACGGGCAAATTACAAAGTTCAGTGGTTGCAGCTCAGAGCTCATGTTTCAACATGGTGGAGTCTGTACTTTGGGTACAGAGCTATCACACTCTCTCGCTTGGCATCTGCCGCCGAAGCCCACTCTCTCCATTACTCCCCTTCCTCATCTTCCTGCCCCCCTGATTCCTTTCCTTCTCTGTCCTTCTCTCTAAGCTCTGGGGTCAAGGATGATCTAGACACTCCCTTTAACGACATTACATCTCCTCATCCAGTTATTCTAAACAGATAAGTGATTATAGATATGTGTTTTGCTATAAATTAGGAAAAAGGTCTACATCTCATTAAACCTATAATTCTATGGATCGGAATCTTAGAAAGAGAATAAACTTTGAAGACTGAATCAAGGCATGTATTATAGATTAGCCAAAGTGAATAATAGCTCAAAAATAGTATGTGGATATGGCAAAAATTCTGCAAAGCCAAACCAGAAATGAATGAATAAATCATGGCACATTTTTTAATTTCATGCAAACTTCAAGAAAAATCACCAGGAAGTTTTGTTTCTTTTTTTTTTTTCTTTTTGGGTCACACCTGGTGATACACAGGGGGTTACTCCTGGCTCTGCACTCAGGAATTACCCCAGCAGTGCTCAGGGGACCATATGGGATGCTGGAAATCAAACCTGGTCAGCCTCATGCAAGGCAAATGCCCTACCCACTGTGCTATTGCTCCAGCACCAACTAGGAAGTTTTAAGCAGGACAGTTACATGACAGGTTTGCTATCAGAATCCTCTGGGGAAAAGGCTGAAGAGGGAAGGGGATAAGTGCATGAAAGCAAATTCTAGAAAAACCGGTTAGAAATAGCTGGGCAAGGTCCAGGTGAGAAACAACGTAACACCTAGAAAGGTTGCATGTGCCACATGAACAAAGAAAAGTTAAAAATGAAGTATGTATTAAAAAAGCAATACATCAGTAAACACATACTGTCTGACCATGTAAATAACTATAGCCTGATGCTATTCTATTCAGTACAAAAAATTACCTAGTATACCTTTATTGTAATCTTTACTGAATGTAAGTGTCAGTTAGCATTTTCAATATTGCAATCTTTAAGTTTCCTGGGCTGTATTTTTCCTTTCATTTTCCCCTTTCATTTCATATTTTGCAAGCTCACTTCTAACCATATTGCATAGTTTCTTTCTGAGTAATTGTGCTTCCCTTCGTGATCCTTAATCCTGAGTATACTCTCCTATGAGATTGAGTCTAGGGGGCTGGAGAGATAGCACAGCAGGTAGGGCGTTTGCCTTGCACGCGGCCAACCCAGGTTTGATTCCCAGCATCCCATATGGTCCCCTGAGCACCACCAGGAGTAACTCCTGAGCGCAGAGCCAGGAGTAATCCCTGTGCATCGCCAGATGTGACCCAAAAAGCAAAAAAAAAAAAAAAAGAATGAGTCTACTATAGTAATGGACTGAATTCATTATTTTATTTTACACAGCACACAAACTCAGAATGACACATATTCCATATTCTTAATTCCCCAATAAAAACTTATGTTTCATTCAGATTTTCCAACTATACTATTTTCTCTGAAATCTAATGCTTTGGATAAAACAAATGGAAATTTCACCTAATTAAAATCTTCAACTTTCTATATAAACATGGGGAGTAAAAATTATGTCAAATTTCTTAGTATTTCTTTCTACTAAATATTATACTCACATATTCCTTTTACCAGTCAACAAATTTGATTTATATTTAAATATTTAAGAATCTTTATTGAAATTTTCTTCGTTCATATGATCCACACGCATATGTTACAAAAATAGTCGTGATAAAATGTAACTCAATACTCACCTGTAAAGTTGAATAGGTATATGGATAGTGATAAGCAAAGTAGCAAACATCATCTTTATGTGGAAAATTGACAGTGAATGTAATTGTATAGTAGGATTTTCCCTTCTGCCCACCTGCAGCAACTGAACTCCTTGAGAAGTGGTTTCTGCAATAGTAAAGCATAAAGTATGTTTACATAAAAAGTATACAACAAAAAAATTCTTTCATAAATTTTCTAAAAGGAACTTCAGGAAAAAAATACCCAGAAACACTATGGACTATATGATGTTTAATATATTTTTTAAAAAGAGATTAACACATGATACTGGCACTGCAATTTGTACAAATTAAGCAGCATTCAACATGCAGTGGTACGTGCCAGTGTCACTGTGCTAATCATAAATCAGCAATTAGCAACTAGCTAACAACATTACTACTTACTTGCCTTGTACGCTGCATACTCCAGTGCATTTCCCTGGTACCACATGTGGTTCCCCCAGCACTGCCAGGGGTCATGTCTGATCAGAGACAGGAACACTCCCTGAGGACTACATGGTGTTGGCCCCAGGCTCCATTGCCTCCAAAATATTACTCTTTGCTTTTAAATTACTAATTAAAATGGATCTAGTATTCTATACAACAATAAAAATTTTAGAACCCAATTCTTTGATATGTCTACACATTATTAGGCTTACATAATTATGACCAATGGCTGCAACAATTCTCAGATACCACAGGGTACATATTAAATGAATCAATTAACAAACCCAAATGTCTTAAGATTACAAAACAAGAAGTAAGCTGAGACACTGAGTTTTGTGTTGTGGTGCAATAAGAATTCACTGATCCTATGTAACTATGAAATATTCTTACTGAAAACTTAATCTGAGTTGATCAAGCTTCTAGACATATTATTTTATAAGAAATCAGTGAGACAAAACTGTTATACGATCAGAAAAAAATCCACAAAATGCAAAATGTGAGCTATCCTAAAGGACAAATGAACTAGCCTGTTGTTGTTGTTTTTAACAAATAAAAAGTCTTATGGTTTTAAAACTTAAGATATTCATTAACAAAAATCAAGTGCTACATGTAGTTCTTTGTCAGTGAGATCAGAGACCAAGCATCAAACTACATTCACAAGAGAGCCAGGGAACTCTGAAGAGCTGCTGACATATCTGGTCATACAAAGACATTTTCTTAGGTGTCATAAAACACTGTGGTTTCATACTTATAAATGTCTAAATAAAAAACTATTTAATCTACCCAACATCTTCCACTTTAAATATCTGACTATCAACTCGATTCCTAAAATTCTAACTCTTCTTGTATTATCTGAACCACATACTGAAAAACAGCATGCATGGCTAGGAAAATGTTCACTCACATAAAGATGTATGTAAGTAAGGAATTTTAAAATTAATATAATCATCATGAATTTAGCCACTCAAATAGCTGCTCACCACCAAGGGACTAAGGGCTGAGGAAATGGAAATATATTTCAGAACTGGGCCCTGCCAACTCTTTCCTCCCACAAAGTTATATATATAACTAACAACTAACTTATCACACCACATTCTAGCCATGTGGCCGTTTACAGATTATATCCCCTCATATGTTTGTGGGATTTAGTTTTATTTTCATTTTACAGATGATCAGGCATCAGAGACCCTACTAATGAGAAAGGCTAAGACACAATGCAAATATCCTAGATTTCAATCTTGGCTAGTTGTGAGCAAAATCAAGTGCTTGCTACATTAAGAATGACTGCCAGATGGAACAAAATTCCAGTCTCAGACACTGAAGCAGCCAAAAGTGGAAGAGGAAGCTGAAGCTGAGCTAAACACAGTCCTTGTCACCACTCCTTAAAATCCTCAGAACCACAAATCCGGCTCTGCCTTTCATACAATGAAAAAAAAAAATGGTTTCTAATGGGCTAAACTAGAAAAACATGAAGGACAAAGATACTTGCTAAAATTTTTTTTGATTCTTTAACGGTCAAAACTTAGCAAGTAACAAAACAAAAACTTTCATTAAGTCAAAATTTAACAAGCGCTGTTCAGATCATCACTGCCGTAATCCAATTTTAAAAGAAAAAGATAAATGGTAAGACAACGTTCATAATAATTCTCATGGGAACAAGCATAAACCAACTCGCCATTAGCTGTACCATGTACCACCAGATCCTGTGCTAGGTTGCTGCCTGGAGGGGGGGCGGTGAGTCCCCTCCCTGCCTCAGGGGACCCAGCTCGGCAGCCGAAAACCTCCAAAGCTCAACTGCCACCATTAGAACAGCCGCTCTCCACACTCTCAGGCAGAGCCTCACCCATGAGTAAATCTGCAGAAAACCCAGGTGGCGGGTTTCATGAATGAAAACTCCAGGCACCAGGAATGGGTGACCTCCCCCCTTCTCCCCGTTTCCTGCAACCTGGCAGTCATGCCCACAAGCCACCTCTGGCTGGCATCAGATAACCTCATGACCCAGAGACTCATAACTGGGTCTGGGTCATGACCCAGAGACTCATAACTCTCTCAGAAGACAGCATAAAACAACTCACCACATTCATGTCACTAAACCCCGCTGTGTCTTTGGGGCACCCCGGAAGGGGGCAGCTGAGACCCCTCCCAGCCCCAGCAGCCAAAGACCTCCAGAACTCAACCACTGTCACGCTCATGGCCACTCTCTACATGCTCGGGCCGAGCCTCACCCATGACTGAACCTATTCCTGGACATCTCAAACCTCACACCACTCATATTCCAAGAGTAGTGCACCATATTGGATGGGGTTTATAGTAGAAGGCAAGCTGGCAAGCTCCCCGTCTTGAGGGAAATATAACTTTACAGATGAATATATATATATATATATATACATGTGTGTATATATATATACATAATATATATATATATAGTCACTACATAATATGTATAAGCACACAAGTCTCAGCCTTTAACAACATGTTAGTGATCTCTTATAGAAGGGCTTAATGATCCCTGGGTGAAATACAACAATCTTTATGCACTTTTCTCTAAGGAAACTTTTTTGGAGCATTTTCTGCAGTTTATTCATAAAAATCAGTACAAAATAAATTATTTCGGTTCTGCTTTGGAGCAGGGGTTGGCTGGGGTTCGGGATGGAAACATCCGAAATATGGTGGTGGGAAAATGTAATGGTGGTGGGATTGGTGTTCGGTCACGGTCATGGTCACGGTCCTCCCATTGTTCATCGATTGCTCGAGCGGGCCCAGTAACGTCTCCATTGGAGACTTTGTTGTTACTGTGTCTGGCATATCAAATATGTCACGGGGAGCTTGCCAGACTCTGCCGTGCGGGCGAGATACTCTCGGTAGCTTGCCGGGCTCTCCGAGAGGGGTGGAGGAATCGAACTCGGGTCGGCCATGTTGGCTGCGTGCAAGGCAAATGCCCTACCGCTGTGCTATCGCTTCAGCCCTATTGGTGTTCGAATATTAAATATTGTGAACTACTTTATAAAAATAAAATTAAATTTTAAAACTCGACTATGTTCATGTTAGCATACCATAATTAAAGGAAATGCAAATTTTGCTTAGGTTAGATGAATTACATAACATATTTTAATTTCATATTTCTATTACTACTCTATGTACTATTTATTTTGCTAAAATAAAATGAAATTTTATTTCTCCGTGAAGTTCCACTGAAATTATTTTTGGCAGGGCAGAGGGGTGGGAGGAACACCTTGTTGTGCTCAGGGCTTACTCCTGGCTCTGAAATCAGGAATCACTCCTGGCTGAGGCTGCCAGGGACTGGAAAAAGACCAGCCGTGTGCAACGCAAGCAAGTGGCCCATCATACGACCTCTCTGGCTCCCAACAAAGGTGATTTGTTAAGAACATCTGCTCTCCCAGAAAGTAGTAACACGTGGGTCTAGATTTTCTTAAAGTCATATCATAAACTGTTAAAAACAGCTTAAATTTGGAAGCTCCCTTCTTCTGCTAAAACTAAAAGACATGAAATAAGCAGAATATGAAAAGTCAAAACCCAGTAAACAGAAAATGTCAGGATTAAGACTAAGAAAGAAGAAACAGTGATATAAAATATACTAAATAGCAGAAACAATCTGAACACCCAGAAACAGCCAAAATCAAAAGCAGGGTAAATTATAGCCCTTAATTAGATGTAAAGCTAATGAATAGTTCAATTAGTCAGATAGTAAATGACTTACAGCATTTATATCTAACTTGATAGATTACCCATCTAACTCAAAGTTGAATTTAGTGCATAAATTAACCTAACTGTGGAACTCAGCTCCTAATAAAATATTTTGGAAATTAAAATGAATAAATATCTGAAAGTAAAGACAGAAGAATTATAGTTAACATCACAGAAGCAACAAAAAGTCACTGCAAATTATAGCCTAGAATTTTTAATTTCAGTCCTGGTCAGTGACGTTCCCAGAATTTTAAAGTTAAAAAGCTGAAAACAGCTATCTAAGCAGTAGAGAGAAGAATTTGTCTCCAAATCACATTATATTTAATCTAGTCCCTATATGAATCTCAGATTGCCATTAGACATAATTCAAGAAATATCACAATTTAAAGAATGAAGTAACTCTTTTTATCTTTGAATTAAACAGAATGCAGTACAGATCCCCTCCTGTAGACGGATGTCCTATTATTCTTAGAATACTTACTTATAGTAACAAATGTCAGTCCCCATACGAATCCACCATGGTCTGGCATTTAATGCTTCCTGAACCGAATACATGAGTGGTTGCATACCTTTGACAGAGAATGATAGAAAAAAAAAAAAGAAGAAGAAGAAGAAGAAGAGAAAATTCTTTTCAGAAGCTTTGAGTTAAAAATTACTCTTGCCATTGTAGAAAGCACCAAACATTCAGGAAAGCTAAAAGAAAATACATTTCAGTTTTTTAGTATGTATAAAAATGTTTTTCTGAAGCCATCAATTAATACACTTTTACTTTCTATTTAACTTCAACAGGTGAAAAGTCATTAAACTTCTCTCAACTTTTTCTGTATTTGACCAATAAAACATAAAGGAATATAAATATATATCTGTACAGACACACATATATAATATATACTCCTTTAAGGTATACTATTTTAAGGTGAGAATAGAACACATTGATGATTACCTATCTAAATACATGATTCCCCACTAACTTTGAGGTTAAGCACCAGTATGGCATAGCCGTTTCTTACTTAACATGCCTAAGGGGCAGCAGAGATTGTTATGTGCAATAGGAGTGATCAAATAAATACATTAAAGATAATGAAAGTTGGGAGTACGGTGCAGCCAACAGGTCAACCTGTACCTGCGGGGCCAGTGCACAGCAGCCTGATGGTGCCTTCAGGTTTCCTGACACCCCAAAATTGCTGCTGTGCCTTTGGCCGGACCCCAACAACTTGGTCCTAAACCAAGATGACCAAGAAATTAAATGGCCAAAAGTTAGGTATGCGGGAGCCACACCCACAAACCACCTCTGGCTTAGCTATACAAGTTCATTTATAGGCCTTATCTCAGAGACCCATAGATAAATCTGAAAGAGATCAAAAGCCACAGTTAATCTCAGACCTGCGCATGGCTGAACTGACTGGGGTAAACTGGAGGGGCAGGTTGGCCTATGCCTGCCCAAGCAGAGCCCCCGGGAGCTGCTTGCTTCCACAGTCAAAAACTGCCACTATAGCCCCGGCCTGACTCCACCATCTCAGGATGGACTTCACCAAGATATAATTTGCTGAAAATTTGGGTATGCGGGTTTTGTGGCTGAGAGTTCCAGGCTTTCACGGAGTTGGGGTGGGCTACTTCCCCCCACTTCCCAATACACATGGAAGCACTGGAAGTCACCCCAACAAACCAACTCTAGTGCCACCTTGTAAACTCTATTACTGGCCTTGCTTCAGAGACCCATAAAAAAACCTCGAAAGAGATCAAAAGCCAGAGACACAGCAGTGAGTCCTGGAAGACATCACAGCTCTGGAGATTTCTCTGGGCCCCATACTAAGCTAATTTTACCCAGGCACCCCAGCAGGTGCAGTCTCCCCACCTACTCCAGATGGAATCCTGGTGACCAAGAGCTTCCACAAGCAGGGCCCAGGTATGCGGGTTCCAGGACTAAATCTCCATGCTGCATGGCAGAAGAGGTGCCGGACTGTCCCTCCCCAGCTGCCCGCCCACTTGCCCACTTGTCGGCCTGGCTGTCATACCCACAATGTGCCTCTGGGGGCCATCTTAGCACACCAACAGCAGAGGTCCAGAGATGCCAAACTGAATCCCAAAATGAACTGGTCCCCTACAGAAATGTCTCTGGAACCCAACCTTTCACAATCTAGGATTCCAGAAGCACATGACTTCGGCACCCAAGATATTAAAAATGAGCAATGGACAATAAATGATCTAGCAACTAGCCCTGGCAGACAGGCTTGAATGGTGATGGGAAAATTTGAGCAAAACATAAAGCCCAAAAATAGAGAGTGAGTATTGGAAAAATTGCCTGCCATGAAGGCAGGGTGAGGTCTGGGATGGGGGCGGGGGGATATACTGGGGACACTGGTGGTAAAAAAGTGTGCACTGTTGGAGGCTAAACATCATTGTACGGCTAAATCTTGAACACAAAAGCGTTGTAACTGATCTCAGGGTGATTTAATTAAAAAAAAAAGTAATGTGGAGCTCATGCCTAATTCAAATAGCTTAATCAATGGCTGAATAAATAGCAGTACATATTGGGCTGGAGCGATAGCTCAGCGCATAGGGTGTTTGCCTTGCACGCGGCCAACATGGCTGACCCGGGTTCAATTCCTCCGCCCCTCTCGGAGAGCCTGGCAAGCTACTGAGAGTATCTTGCCTGCACAGCAAAGCCTGGCAAGCTACCCGTGATGTATTCGATATGCCAAAAACAGTAACAAGTCTCACAATTTGTTGTGAGACGTTACTGGTGCCCACTCGAGCAAATCAATGAACAATGGGAGGACAGTGTCCGTGAGTCCTACATTAAAAAAAAAAAGATAATGGAAGTCAAAATTATTTAGGGAGAGGCATGGAGTAATTGGCCAGCTCCTGGCAGTGTTCGGGGGTCACTCCCCCACATAAAGCGAGAGAGTATTTGGCACTGGGGTGTGATCAGGATCAGTTTTGTAGAGTAAGCAACTCACCCACTCTACTCTCTCTGGGACTTTCATATTCTTTATACTGGAAAAGGAAGTAATAAATATGGTAAGGATACTAGAGTGAGCCCTTGGGAATTGAAGGAATCAGATTTCACGTGTCTATAACACACATATGTACAAACATATCAAATACAGATATGAGTGCAAACGTAAGTTCCTTTATATTAGTGTATATGAACATGTACTCCCTAAATTCTGTTCCTCAGAATATTAGTCATATGCACACTGGGCATTAATAAAGTGATGCCACAGAGACAAACTAGAACTCTGATGAAAGGATTCATTCCAGTCTTGGGAAAGAAAGACGAAGAGAGTTTTGAGCACTTACACTGCAAAGCAAGTACACTCTTAACGAATGATGGGGCACGTGGCCAACCCAGGTTCAACCCCCAGCATCCCATATGGTTCCCAAGCCCACTAGGAGTCATTTCTGAGTGCAGAGCCAGGAGGAAGCTCTGAGCAGCATCAAGCATGCCCCTCCTTCCCCCACACACACCAAAGGTAAAAAGGTAAAGGCCCTCCCGTTGATCGTCGATTTGCTCGAGCGGGCCCAGTAACGTCTCCATTGGAGACTTTGTTGTTACTGTGTCTGGCATATCGAATACTCTCGGTAGCTTGCCGGGCTCTCCGAGAGGGGCGGAGGAATCGAACTCGGGTCGGCCATGTTGGCTGCTTGTAAGGCAAACGCCCTACCCGCTGTGCTATCGCTCCAGCCCACACACACACACCAAAATAAAAAATAAATTTAAAAAAGGAAGAAGAAAAGAAAGCACTTAAAAAAGTCTATTTAGTCAAGTGATAAAACAATTCTTTTAACTAATGGGACAGAAATTCTATATCACTGGACACAACGCTTCGTGATTCCTCCCAAGGCTGCAGAATTTAAACTCTATCATGAGGTACATGGGACAACTCTAGGTTGAGAACCACTATTACATATGCTGATGACAGAAAACACCCTCTCACGTATACATTTCTGATTTCTGCTGAAATATCTATCACATGATTTTCAAAAGAATCAAAGTTATGAGCTTTATTAAGGACTGTAAAGTGCTCCTGACTAAAATAAAGAGACTTAACTACACAGAACATGCAGCTGGCTGGATTCTTTAGCTACAAAAGTCATTCGTGATATTTTTAAGGGGCGTCTCAGTGAGCAGGGCCTGGGCAGGGTCCATCTATCACAATAATCTCCTGGCACTGGTCACACCACTGGGTGTGGGAGGTGTGGCCCAAGGGTACTGAGGAGACAGGGCATCGCATCTGGGGCGTCACCACTCCAGATGCTCACCACAGGGCAAATGTGACGATGTTTAGGTAAACCTGGTATCATTTCAAAATATTTAGAAAAAGATGACTATCATAAATCAGTCTAGGTAAATATTCTGTTCATGTTCATGTAATGTACACTAGAGTGATCTTCATAACTTATCTATTCTTTGCTTCATTAATTTAACAAATATTTACAGAAATCTAAATGCTATACCTTAAATATGGGATCAGCCCCAGATGCTGTCCCTGCAGTGGAGTCAGCCCCAGAGGCTATCCCTGCTGTGGGGTCAGCCCTGATGCTGTCCCTGCTGTGGGGTCAGTCCCAATGCTGTCCTCACTGTGGGAGGGGGCATCACTGAAACACATACATAAACAACATGAAACTAAAAAAAGCACCTTAAAGTGAAAGAGTTACAAAGAACACTTCTACAGAGACTAATCCAGTTCAGGAAGTCAGGGAAGAGTCGAAAATTCTATTTTATTGGCTATTTCTATGTTCATTAGGATTATGCTAGAAGGTAGCACAAATTCTTCATAGGAGCTGGCGGCGGCACCAGACAGGGGCAGGAAGGGGGCTTGTGATGGAAGCACCAGGGAGAGCGGTTCGAGCTGCCACCTAGTGGTAACCTGCGCAAACATCTTTCAAATTGGGGAGGAGTAGGAATAACTGTTGAATATAGTAACAAAATCTCAAACCATGCATTTGTGAGATCATACATCCTTGGAGAAATTAAGTATTTAACAGACATACCTAGAAACACCTAAAGGACAATTTGAGGGCTCAGAGTGTCCTTGAAATGGTGCTGACCGTACTTTGCAAGGACTATACTCAGGAATTTCCGTTTCTGGATTGTACTGCCTGTTGCCTACAAATGTCCTACCAGATATAATCTATATTCCTCAAATATGTCTTCTAAAATATCAGAGAGACAAGAATCCTTGTAAAAGCTTCTAGGAAGTATCACCCTAATGGTAAAGCAGACAGATATATCACTAAAAAAGAAAACTCAGCCCAATATCCCTGATGGATTTTATACCAAGAACATAAAGATGGATCAATATACACAAATTAGTTATTGAAATAAATCATGTCAATGAAAGGAATAATAAAATCACATGAGCATATGAACAGATGGAGAAAAAGTTTTTGATAACATTCATGATTAAAATGCTCAACATGATTAAAAAAAAACTCAAACACAGAAGTAATATATCGGGAAAGTAATAGCCATTTACAAAAAAATCTGTCAACATTGTATGAAATGTCAGACAACTGAAAGGTTTCCTTCTGAGACGAAGCAGAAGGCAAGAATGTCCACTGTCTCCACTAGCACTCAATATAGTTTTATAAGTTCTCGTCACAGTAATAAGGCAAGGAAAAGAAAATCAAAGGTCTTCAAATTGAAAAAGAAACTAAACTCTATCTGCAGATGGCATAGTAATAACATTCATAGAAAATCCTGAAGACTCCACCAAAAATTCTTAGAAGCAATCAACCAATACAGTGAAATTAGACTACAAAACAAATAAACAAAAATTTATTTCTATATGCAAATAATGAAACAAAATAGAAGTAAAAAAGACAAATTATGTAAGACAGAGTCCGGGGACTGGAGAGACAGGACAAGTAAGGAGCTCACCTTTTATGTGCAAACAGCCAGCATTTGATCCCCAGCACCACATTATAGTCCCCTGACCTTCACTTGAGTGATTCCTGAGTGAAGAATCACACATAAGCCCTGGACAGGCTGGGTGAGGCCCCCAAATGACAACAACAGAACTAGAGTCCAAAAATGTAAATATCTAGGAATCAGCAAAGTATGTGAAAGACTTATACATCAAAAACTATAAGCCACCACTGAAAGAAACAGAGAAGGACATCACAAAATGGAAAAATATTCTATGTTCATTGATCAGAAGAATCAACACTGTAAAAATGATCATCCTACTCAGAGCTAGTGCACAGACTACACAGACTCAAAGCAATCTAATTATACAGATTCAAAGCAAGGCCCCTGGCCCATGTATTGGAAAAAATAAAAGGTAAGGTAAAGGTAAAGGCCCTCCCGTTGATCATCGATTTTCTCGAGCGGACCCAGTAACGTCTCCATTGGAGACTTTGTTGTTACTGTGTTTGGCATATCGAATACGTCACGGGGAGCTTGCCAGGCTCTGCCGTGCGGGCGAGATACTCTCGGTAGCTTGCCGGGCTCTCCGAGAAGGGCGGAGGAATAGAACTCGGGTCGGCCATGTTGGCTGCGTGCAAGGCAAACGCCCTACCGCTGTGCTAAAATATTTTAACAAAATGCATTTGGTAAAGCGCTGATGATCCAAGATACATAAAGTACTCAGAAAACTGGAAAAAAAATAAAGCCTACCAATAATCAGGTAAAAAACTTCAAAAAAAGACACCCAAAAAAAAAAAAACATACAGATAGTCATTAGGCATATCAAAAAGTGACAAAGTGTTCATCACTTTACCAGGGCAACTCATATCAAAACGACGTGATATCGCACAGTGAGAATGGTATGTCAAAATGACTGGAAACAACAGACCTGATATAGAGAAAATAAAAAGTTGCCATTTGCTCTTGGTTTGTGTGTCCTCTGGGTCAGACTCTATGGAAGGCTGCATGAAGATTTCTCCCAAAGGTATGATGGTGTTTCCATCTGACCCCATAATTCCATTCTTGATATGTACCCCAAAACACTAAACATTCCATTGGAAAGATGTACACACACCTATGTACACTGCAGCTCGGGATATGGAAACAACCCAAATGTCCAGGGATAGGTGAATGAATAGAGAAGTTGTGGTGCATATACACAGAATATCATACAACTCGACAAGGAATGAAGTCACGCAGCCCAGTGCAACTCAGCTGGGATTGCTGGGAACTGTTTCATGTGAGAAAAGCCAAAGAAAGAAGGACCGACACGGGCACTCTCACAGGAGCAGACAAAACAGAGCAGAGACAAATCCTTGACGGTTAGAACTCAGCAGCCAACAGTGCAAGGTTCACTTTGGTGTCAATGAAGAGCTGACCTAGGGACAGGGTTCGGGTCGGGGGTACTCTGTTGGAGGGGGTGGAGCTTGGTACATCAATACAGAAACATAAATACTGTCACCTCAGTGATGATAAATACTGGTTTTTTGAGTTACAAAACTACAGCTAACATATAGAATAAGGAACGAACTGTGAAAAGCACCGGGTATTATGGCAATGTAATTATCCAGTATCTTGACTGGGATGACAACTATAAGAATCTATAGGTGTATCAAAATGGCATGGAAATATGTGCCCACATTGGAGCAGTGTCAGTTCCCACCTGTGGGTACTGCAGTTACACAAGGCACAATCTCTGCAGGAAATCTGGTGAGGAGAATCAAGATCCTTTCTGCAACTTTTATAATATTTTAAACTTTCTATGAATCTATTAAATAGTCATAAAAAGGCTGCTTTATGTCATTCTATCCTCATGAACTGACATCAAAAACTTTATTTTAAGCAGGACACATAAAACACAGCAAATCTTACCCATCAAATTACACTTAAAAGGGCTTGCTTATAGAAGTATAACTCTTTTCACCAACAAAGATTAAATTTCTTTCAAATATGGTTAAATATCTAAATTTTGAGAACTAGAGAAAACAAAAGAATAGTGAAATATTCAAAAATGCTGATCATATTTTAAAAACAGCTGTTGCATAATTAGAATGTGACTGCATACCCTCTCAATTAAGAAAGAAAATTGTCTTACCATAATTAAATTGACTGTTGGACTTTTCACAGTTAATTATGTTAAACCTGTAAGCTACACCTGGGCGCATTCCACTGACTTCAAAATAGAACCACTGATGGTAATGGTTGCTGTTAATATCTGAGTTCAGAATAAGATCATACTCATTCCTAAAAATAGAAATAAAAAAGTCTGATGAAAATTTAAGAAAATATTTTTTACTTATGTGCTTATACTGAGGAAAATATTTCTGCTCATACAAAATAAAAAAAATTTTTTAAATGACTTACTTTCTAATTTGAATTACTTTGCGCAGATTCCCAGATTCAAATTTGGAGTTAAACTTCAAAATGTCTCCCTCTTCAGGAACGGTGTAACTAAGAAAATTTAAGTATAATAAAATACATTTAATTTAAACAGAAAACAAAAATTAAATAAAACCAGATTGTAAATTAAAAATAAGGACATCTTCCCACACTGAAATTAAATCTAATCACAAATCAGATTCACAAATCACAAATTTGCTTCATTAGATAAACATCATTTCTAAAGATCACACCAAGAAAAAGCTCTTCCCCTTTTCCCTTCATTTCCTTGTTTTTGGTCCATATCGGACACTCCCGAGGACTGATTCCTGATTCTGTATCCAGGGGTCACTCCTTCTGGGGCTCAGTGACCTACATGTGGTGCCAGGGATCAAACCCAGCTGCATGCAAGAGCTTGACCCGAAATACTGCCTCTCTGGCCCCAAGCTTATTTTTAAAAAATGCATATGACCTACAAATCAGTAATAATTCTAATTATTTAGGCATTTCTGGGGTGAAAATATTTAACTCTGAACTATGTCGTTATCTTAATTAGAAATGAAAAGTGTCTGTGGTATTCTCATTTTACAAAGCCATTACTCATTACTTTGGTAAGTTTAAAAAAAATGTTTTCACTTTTTAGTGTCTTTTGGCCATTTGTATTTCTTCTTTGAGGAAGTTTCTGCTCATCTCTTCCCATTTTTTTTTATGAAGTTGGATGTCTTTTTCTTGAAAAGATCCACTAGTGCCTTATATATCTTAGATAGTAACCCCTTCCTAGAGGAGGGTTCGGTAAATAATCTCTCCCAGTCTGTGGGCTCTCTCTGTATTCTGGTCATTGTTTCCACTGCAGTGCAGAAGCTTCTTAGTTTGATGTCCCATTTGTTTATCTCTGCTTCCACTTACTTGGTCAGTGGTAATTCATCCTTGAAGAAGCCTTTCAGCATCAATGTCATGGAGAGTTCTGCCTACATTTTCCTCTATGTACCTTATGGATTCAGGTCTGATCTGAAGATGTTTAATCCATTTTGATTTGGGTTTTGTGCCTGGCATTAGAAAAGGGTCTGAGGACTTGTTGTTGGCTTTTTTTTTTTGGTATGACACTGACCAGTTTTCCTAGAACCACTTCTAGAAAAGGATTTCCTTGCTCCACTTCATATTTTTAATTCTTTATTGAAAAATAACTGATCATATCCCTGAGGGCTGTCTTTATTCCAATATCATGCTGTCTTAATCACTACCTCTTTGTAGTACAGATGGAACTTGGGGAGGTGATACTACCCAGCTTATTTTTCCCAAGGATTGCTTGAACTATTCAGGCAGGGGGAGAGGGGGAGGGCGGTGTACATGACCATATGAATTTCAGGAGAGTTTGATCTATTTCTTTAAAAAAAATGGCATGGGTATGCTTATAGGGACTGCATTGGATCTGTATAATGTTTTGGGGAATATCATCATTTTGACTATGTTAATCCTCCTGATCCATGAAGAGGAGATGTGGCTTCATATCCTTTGTGTCCTCTTTTTATTTCTTGAAGTAGCGTTTTATCATTTTCTTTGTACAGGTCCACCTCTTTAGTTAAGCCAATTCTAAGGTATTTGATTTTCTGAGGCACAATTGTGAATGAGATTGTTTCTTAATTGACTCTTATTTCATTATTTGCATATAGGAAGTCCACGGATTTTATAGTCTGCCAATTTACCACATAGTTCTATTGTATCTAGGAGCTTTTTGTGGAGTCTTTAGGATTTTCTAACCTAATTTTCTTACCTAATTGCTATGCAAGTACATACAGTACTATATTGAATAGGAGTGGTGAGAGTGGGCAACGTTATCCTGTGATTGATCTTAGTTTAAGCTTGATCACTGGCTTTCAGTTTTTTCCCTGTTGCAAATAATGTTTGCTGTGGGCTTGTGGTAGATGGTTTTAATTAAATTATGAAAAGTTTCTTCAATTTCTATTTAGTAGAGAGTTTTTATCATAAATAGGTGCTGGATCTTGTCAAATGCTTTCTGAGTCTATTGATTACATGGTTTTTATTTTTTCTTTTATTGATGTTGTGTATTATGTTAATTGCCTTGTGTATGTTAAAACACCCTTGGATCCCTGGGAAAAATCCTACTTGGTCACAGTATACAATCTTTTTGATGAATTGTTGGATTCTATTTGCCAATATTTTGTTGAGGATCTTTACATCTGTGTTTATCAAGGATACTGACCTGTAATTCTCTCTCTCTCTCTCTCTCTCTCTCTCTCTCTCTCTCTCTCTCTCTCTCTCTCTCTCTCTGTGGTTGTGTATTGATCCTTCAAATTTGAATGAGAGTCTGCCTAGGTAAAGTATTCTTGGTGAGGTGTTCATTTCACTGAGTTTTTTCCACAATATCCCACTTTTTGCCACCACTTCAGGCCCTGAGGGTTTCATCTGATTGTCAGCTATAAATATTAAGGAGACTACTTTACAAGCAACTTCCCTCTTTGTTCCTGCTATTTTCAGTATTCTATCTCTATCTGTGGTTTTAGTCATTCTGATTAGGATGTGTCTTGGAGTATTTTTATTTGGATTTCTTTTAGCTGGTACCCGTCAGGCCTCCTGGATCTGAACACATGCACTTTCTAGCTCTGGGAACTTCTCATCAATGATGACTCTGACTGTTATTCCTTCATCAAGGGTTTCTTACTGTCCCTCCAGAACCCTGATGATTCTTATGTTGTTCCTCTTTGATTCATACCAAAGTTCTCTTGTCATATGGCGGTTTATTTTGAGGCTCTTTTTTATCTTCTGCTATTGTCTAGAGATTTTCTGCACTTCATATTGGAGCTCACTGATTCTGTCCTCAAGAGCGGTTACTCTGCTGCTGAGGCCTTCAAGTGAATTTTTCATTTCATGTACCAGGTTTTTCAGATGTTATTTCTGCTTGTATTTTCATTTGTATTTTCCTCACTTCTGCTCTCATGTATCTCTCCTGTGTCTTATTGGCTTATTGATGATGCATTCCATTTGAGTTCCTTATGCATCCTTAGTAGCTCCATACTAAATTCCTTATCAGAGAGGGTATATAGCTCAGCATTACTGGTTGGGTCATCTGGACTAGCTTCTTCATTCACTAAGCCTGGTGGATTTCTGCATAGTGACCTTTACAGTTTAGAGTTGTTTCTTGTGTTTTGTTGTGGATTGGGTGCCTATGGTTAGGAAGAATTAGATGTTTATGGTGAACTATGGAGAACCACCTCTACTACCCAGCCGCCGCCAAGCTTCAGGACGCTTTCCAGATGCTCGGGCCAAGACTCAAGCAGGAGTGAAGCCCCAAAGAACCAGGTAAGCAGAACTCTGTGACCTTGGACTCCAGGCTCAATGGAACCCAGAAACAGAGATCCTCTACCTGCTCCCACCAATCTCCAGTGATCCAGGGATTAAACCCAGGAGCCCCAACCTACCCTGCTCTGCATTCTTTTAGCAATCTCCAGCAACCAAGGGGTTACACCCAGAAACCCCACCATACCAGATAAATACCTCATCGGCAGACGTCTACTACCTCTACTACCCAGCCGCCGCTATGCTCCAGGACGCTTTCTGGACCGCACGGCCACCCTAAAAGTCTCTATCCCTCTCAAGGAGCTTAGAAAGCTACCAAGAGTATCCCGCCCACATGGCAAAGCCTGGCAAGCTATCCGTGGCATATTCAATATGCCAAAACCAGTAAATACAATGGGACTAACCCCCCTGACTGTGAAAGAGTCACCAATACGGCAACATTCAGAAGGATGCGGAAGGAGAGGCTGATAAAATCTCAAGGCTGAACTAGGCTGCTAAAACAAAGGACAAAAATGACTGTCTGTACTTCAATGCATGTACTCTGACATCAGATGCATCCATCGAGGACCTGTGGTACAAGCGCAAAAGATCAAGTACAACATCATTGGTCTGACCGAGATGAAAAGGCATCAATCACATCATGCCATTTTCGACACTAGAGAAGAACTGCTCCTCGGAACGTGCGACAAAAGAGGCGTTGGTGGCGATGGTATCCTTGTCAACACGAACAGCACTGATTCATCTGAATGCCTAACAACCCAAATCAGAGGATTACACTTGAATAGATGTGGCTCACTGCCTGCAGTTTCTATCTTCGTTGTCTATGAACCAACATCCAATTATGATGAAGGAGAAATTGACAAGTTCTACATGGAGCTGGAGAAGTTCATAAAGAAGACCACACCTTCTACAAGATCATTGTTGGTGATTTTAATGCCAAGATAGGAACGAGAAGATCAGCCAAAGAACCCACGGCCTACAATGGAACGAACAGGGTGAGAGAATATCTGAGTTCATCGTGTTGACCAAGACCATTCATGGTAACTCACAGTTCCAGAAGGCTGAATCTAAACACCAAACATGGGAGTCTCCCGGTGGACGGTTCCACAACGAAAAAGACCACATCACATTCAATCGACGGTTTTGCCTGACTGATGTCGCTGTTGTCCCAAAATTCTGAACGGGATCAGACCATCGTCTCCTTCGTGCAAAATTCTACTTCACAGAGCGAGGAGAAAGGGCTGCAAAGTTTAAGAAGAGAACTCCCAGAATGACCACCAACAGGGAGCTCTATGGCATTATTGTGGCAACATGAGAAGATGCCATCGTTCACAACATTGACAAAGAATACTATCTACTGGTTCAGCACCTCCAGTAGATAGTACTGTGCGAGAAATGCCTAGAGATAGCCACAAAAAGACTCCTGTCTTCAAAAACTCTGGAGCTCATTTGCAAACATGGCTTGGCGCAAGCCTCAGGCAAGTGCAAGCAAATGTCTGAGCTTGCAAAACAGTGCAGATAAATGATAATGGAAGACCTCAAAGAGAGAAGAGCAGCAGTGCTGGCCGATGCAGCAGAGCCGGAAAAAGCATTCACAATGCCCGGCTGTCCTTCGCCAACTATAAGAACAAGATGACTGCCCTCCGACGTCCTGATGAATCTATCACATCCTCCAGAAGGGCAATGGAGAATATTATCCATGTCTTCTACTCTGATCTCTTAGATAGCCACATCCTCCTGCCCACATGCCAAATTCCACTTAATGAATATGACATTCCCAACGTTCTCCCTTCCTAAATCCGACATGTCATTTTGTCGGTAAAGAAGTGAACAGCACCGGGCCCAGACAAGGTCAGACGCGAACACCTGAAGAACCTGCTGTCAGTACTGACCAATACACTGGCTTGGCTCTACACACGCTACCTGTCTAAATGCAAGGTTTCATCCCAGTGGAAAACCAGCAGGTCTGTACTACTGTACTAGATGGAAGACTTCCATGACATTGGCAACTATCGCCCAATCTGCCTGTTGTCTGTCGTCTATAAGCTGTTCACTCGAGTCATCCTGAACAGGATTAGTAGAACACTAGATGAAGAACAACCATGCGAGCAAGCCAGGTTCCAAAAAGAATTCAGCACCATTGACCATATACACATGATAACCAAGCTCATAGAGGTTTCTTGGGAGTTCAAGATGCCGCTCTGTCTAACGTTCATTGAATTAAAGAAGGCCTTTGTTTCTGTTGAGACGGAAGCAGTCATCGCAGCCCCAGCCAACCATGAGCTGCATTATGGATTCACTACCAGGATCTCACCATTCTACAATGAAGTGATCATCCAAGTCAAGAGAGGGGTTTGGCAGAGTGATACCATTTCAACGAAACTCTTCAGTGCCACCCTGGAGAATGTCATGTAATGACCGGAATGGGAAGGAAGGTGAGTGAAGACAGACAGTTAGCAAGTACACCACATCGCTTCGCTGATGACATCATTCTAATAACACCAAACATTAGCCAAGCAGCACAAATGCTGGCTGACTTTGACCGTGTGTGTGGAAAGCTTGGACTACAGCTGAATCTCATGAAGACAATGTTTATGAGAAACGGTCTCATTCCTGACATTCCATTTGTTCTCAATAGAACGAACATCTCCGAATGCAAGGTATGTGTACCTCGGTCGAGAAATCAACATGATGAATGACCTGGTACCTGAGTTACGCAGGAGGAAGAGAGTGGCTTGGAGTGCCTTCAAGAGTGTCGAAGAAATAACTTAAGAGGGCGTACAACCTCCAGCTCTGGGCATATCTCTTCGATTCCACTGTTCTTCCTGCATTAACATACACCTCAGAGACCTGGGCCCTATGAAAACAGGATGAGAACGCCATTTGGGTCTCCCAAAGAGGAATCAAAAGCGCTATTCTTGGAGTATCATGCTTCACTCAAGTGAGAGAAAGAATCCAGAGTTCCGACCTCTGTCGATGATCGAGAATCAGGGACACTGTCTTATTTGCCAAGGCGTCGAAAATCAAATGGACTGGACACGTAATGCCATTTGGAGATGACTGCTGGACTAGAGCCATTACCGACTGGATTCCACAGGATTGCGTGGCCACCCACCTACGAGATGGTCAGACTTCTTCGTCAAGACCCTGAGTGATCTGTTTGAGGCTCTTCATGTTCCTGGAGCAAGCAGATGCCACTGGGCTACACTAGCATGCGACAGGGACAAATGGAGACATACTGGTGCCCGCTCAAGCAAATCGAGGAGTAATGGGATGTCAAGTGATCAAGTGATCTTGTGTGTTGTTGCGTGGTTGGGTGCCTACAGTTAGAAAGAAATCAGATGTTTATGGTGAACTATGGAGAGTGGAACAAATGCATGGCTGTGGAGGGCGCAGACACCTGAGTTTCCTCATTTTCCTGGGCCTAGGGCTGGGCAGAGTCAAGCCAAGGTGGCTACGCAGCCCTCCCCTTCCTTATCCACTTCATAAGCTGGGGGTGTTGGGAGCAGGGGGGTGGGAAGGGAGCAGGGAATGCAGGGAGAATCCTGACCTGGAGGGCACAATGGTGATTCTAAGAAAAGAGCACCCCCCCCCCCCGCCCCCATGCCTGAACTTTCTCAGTTTCCTGGGTCCGGGCCTTACTTTGGTGAATTTTAAAGTTATTATGCATCTAATAAACATCAAATAATGTTTTAGTTATTTGTTTCTCTGATTGAATAAATTCTTGCTCCTATGAAGTTTGCATTCTAAATGGGAAAAACTAAGCTTTAAGTGATAGGCAAAGTCAGTTCAATTAGAAATAGCACAGTAAAATATTCTTAGGGTTCTGGGGTTTCTGCTTTTACTTCATCTGCTTGGTCTCTCTGACCCAGGTAAAACTAAAAGACATAGTTAGTAAGAGACAGGAACAAGTAGAGACTCTGGAGAACTAGCAAGAATATGTTTCTTCCAACTTTGTTGTGTTAAGCAAATCAATGTACAATAGTACAGGAGAAAATAAAAGCATTTTATGTTAAATCTCCATCATTTAAACTGAAGTAATCTCAGTTAAAAGAAAAAAAGGGTACTATTAATTTAGGTATTTTGTTTGCTTTACAAGTAAACAAAAACCTGTGACATACTTAAATATGATTCACTATTACATTATTACTGTATTTCTCTCCAGTGATGAAAACATCATGATAATAAACTAAGTAAAAGTACAAGTTTTTATCTTTTAAAAATAACACTGAAATTTTACAGTACTAACACTGAAAGTTTATAGTAGAAAGCAATGTATAGAGGAAAGCCAGACTTACTTTGGATCATCTATATCATACACCACTCGATCTATGATATCACTCTGATGTATCAGCCTTTCAATATCCTGGGCAATTTTTGTCCTGAAACCGTAAGAGAAGTATGATCAAAATTCATGAAATTCAGTGTGCAACTTTCTCTAAATAAGCTTGAATCTTAAAAAAAAAAGACATTCATTAAAATAAAAGTGATCATCCCTCTAACTATATAATCTGTTTGTATATACAAACTATCAAAACAAGCAATACTAAGACTGATGATCTGAATCTGAATTTTAGAACATGTCATAGAGAAGTTGAGCTACATCAGAAACCAAAACAAAACAAGCCCAAATGTCTTATCAAGTTATTCCATCAAATGATTTATATCAGTGACCAGATCCCTTCTGCAGTTTTTCAGTAAATAACCAGCATCTTTGACAGTATCACTACAGGTGGTGAGAATCTGAAAAGGCAGAAGCTGCAGAAGGGTATTGAGTCCCCCGCTACCAGGAATTTAGCAATGACACAACTGGCTTGCACATTCTGAAAATCTTATCTCTTCTGTGGCTACAAAGAAATGTGGAGGGAAAAGAACCCCATATCCCTGTGAGATGGGGATTCTCCAGCCTCAGGCCAGAAAGACGGTACAGAGGGGAGGGCACTTGCCTTGTAGGCAGCTGATCCACGTTTGATTCCTGGCACCCTATAGAGTCTCCTGAGCACACTCAAGAATGAACCCTGAGCACAAAGCCAGGAGTAATCATTGAACACAGCAGGGTTTGGCCTCAAAACAAAAACCAAAAAAAAATTTCTCTAGCTTTGAGCCCCCTGCTGATCACTGTAACAAACTGGAAAATTCCTAAAATCCCCCAAGTGTCCAAGAAAACTAAGCTACTGATGGTTTCCACAATCTTTCAGTCAGTGTTTAAATCCAGCAGCATCTAACACTCACATGACAAAACAGGCAGGCCAAGACCAGAAAACCATGTACTAATTACATGTACTAATTACATGTACTCAAGATTGTTTCAGCTAAAATTTGCAACTGCATATTGGAACTATGGGCTTGTTCCATGAAAAGGCAAAGTAAGAAAGTTTGCCAAAATGATTTGCCAAAAAGATTTCAAGAATACACTGAATACTGAACCTCCTAAACTTCAGAAAGATGTAAAATTAGTTGTTTACAACTTATATTTCACATTTTGCTAATTACAAATTAGCAAAAACATATTTCTCTGTGATCAAAGAATATCAAGTTTCATATTGATCAGAAATATATCTAACAGAATCACACTATAGTCTTAAATTCAAATAAAAAACCAATCTAATGAAGATTATTTTGAAAAGATGTAGTTTCAGGGTGGAAAGCTTGTCTTGCATATGTGATACGCTGGGGTTTCATCCCTGCCACCATAAAATTAAAATGATCAGAAAATACACAAATAGATGGCAGTTAAACACATGAAAGAGGAATATTAAAAATGAAGAAAGTCTAAATCTAAAATCTAAAAATCTAGTATATATATTTGTTTAGTGCAGAGGTGTCCAAAACTGTCCAGAGAGCAGTGTGATTCTGGGCCAGACAGTCTGGCCCCATCACGGAACAGCACTAGCCTAGGGTGCTGAGCTCACCTGGGGGTGCTCAGGACCAAGAAAGACATGCAGTTCTCAGGCTTAACCTGGGGTCCAAAACATTTAACCTTGCTCTCCAGCCTGCAAATTTCATTTTTAATTTTTATTCTACCAAAAAAAAATTCTGCCAAAGCAGATTATAACAAAACCTAGTAGCAAATACCAAATTGCTTTCAAAGAAAAAGACTTTAAAAGCTGTTAATTATAATAAAAACAAATCCAAACTTTTGGGTTTTATCATCCAAACCTTAAATAATGAAGAGAAAGCACTTTAATATTACAAGTCAGAATCATTTTTACTAAATAAGGCTGATATATGCAATTAAGTACAGAAATACTGTGTTAAAAGGTGGCTGCAATGGTTGCATGAAACAACAGCACTGTGAAGTGTAAACAGGAGAAGGAGATCAGACATCAGGAGGGCTTGCAGGCCATGGGGGGCTGACTTGGTGCAGGGCATAAAACCAGGAACACAGGCTCTCTAAAATTAAACTGGGTGCCAAGCAGAAAACACATTAAACTTTGCTGGAAAATTTGGATTTCTATGTGGAATCCCAGCTTTTACACGTTGAGATTTACACGAAGCTATGTACAAATTAAAGTGGTCTGCAGTGGTCTTCACCTGATACTGCATTTTAGGGAATTTAATCATTTCTCTTTGTTTTTGTCTGCTTTCTTTTGTTGTTGTCCACACGGAGCAGTGCTCAGCCCTCACTCCTGGCTCTGTGCAGAGGGGTCACGCCTGGTGGGGCTGGCCTCATGCAAGGCAAGCATGATACCCTTCGATTTCTCCACTTCCTAAATCTCTGTAAGACTAGACACAACATTAATATCTGAGGGAAATCTTTGCCCTGCTCATAGCCCTCATGAATAAAAAGGAAAAATAATTTTCCATTCAGATACATTATTTGTGCTAAGCTGCTAAACTTTATAGAATATCACTTTGTTCTTAGCCTCAACTCCTTATTAAAATAGTACTCTCTACCCCAAATAAAACAATGGTTTTTTTTTTCTGATACCTGCAGGGATTATATCTTCTAACTTTATCACACTAAATATGTATCAAACTTTCGGTTCAGAAAAAACTTTTGTGCAAAATAATTTTTTGGGCTTATTTTTGTTTCTGTGTTTGGGACACATGGTGATACTCAGAGAACACTCATGATGGTGCTAGGGGATCATATGGAATGCTGGAGGTGCAACATGGGCCAGGTGTGCACAAAGTGAGCACCCTGCTCGCTTACAATCGCTCCAGCCCCCACGGACAATAGTTCAACAATGCACAGTGCAAGGCCAGAGAGGGAGCTCTGGGGGCTGAGCGGAGCAGCAAAGTGCAGATCTGACCCTCTCATGCACAGTTCCCATGTTCCCATGTTCCCATGCTCCCGCCATGCATAACCTGGCACAGACCCAGAAGTCACCCCAGAGCACTGCCAGATGCTGCCCAGCACCCCCACCCCAAAACACCCAAAAAGAATATATACCCATTCCATTCAATTCATGCTTAAAAGTTTACATGGTGTGTAGCCACCAGCAAAATTTCATTTTGATTTTTTAGACAAATATATACCAATATTATTTTTACAAATTTCAATGCTACATTTACTTACTGTAAGGATAAGAAAAAAATCCTTATATGAGTGTTCTCTGAAGATCCACAGAAAAATAACTCTATCAAATATATAGTATAACCACATACATACCAGTTTCACAAATCTGGGCTTAATATTTAGCTCATAACTCAAGAAATCTAAGTCTCAACATAATTCTCTGTAAATGAAGAGAAATAAGAACAATTTCTTTACAGAGCTGTTCTAAACTACTTCTTAGTAGAGTGTCTGACTAATAAAAAACACTCAACAAATGTTATATGCTCCTTGGGTGAGAAACAGTATCGAGGGTGAGGTGTTAGCTGCTGACTCTGGCACAGTATAGTATCCTCTGAGCACTGCCAGGGCCTCTGGACATGGAGCCAATAGGAAGCTCTGAGCCCCTCTGGGTACCGTGCAAACACCAATTAAAAAAAATTAAAATGGTATATGCTACTACTCTTTTTTTAACATAGTCATATTTTATTATGAAATCTGGATTTATTATATTATTGTAATAACTGAAGTTTCTTTTTTTTAATTTTTCTTTGTGATTCTTTTTTTTGAAGTTTCACAGTCATGGTCATGGTTCTCCCGCTGTTCATCAATTTGCTCAAGTGGGCCCAGCAACATTGTGAGACTTGTTATTGTGTTTGGCATATCGAAAACATCACGGGGAGCTTGCCAGGCATTGCCGTGCAGGCAAGATACTCTCGATAGCTTGCTGGGCAATCCGAGAGGGGCGGAGGAATCCAAGTCGGGTCGGCCATGTTGGCCACTTGCAAGGCAGACGCCATACCACTGTGCTACCGCTCCAGCCCTTTTGAAGTTTATGGGATCTTTTTTTTTAATTAATTAATTTATTTATTTATTGAATCACTGTGGGAAAGGCCACAAAGCCTTCAGGTTTAGGTCTCAGTCATGCAAATATCAAACACATTTCCCTTTACCAATACTTATTTTTTACCATGAAGAACCCCAATAAAACCCCACCCCCCCACCCCTCCCAGCCCCTGTGAGGCAGATGAATTCCAGTCAACACTCTATCTGCTTTGATTAGATTCATTGCTTCAATAAAAGATTCACCACTATTATTCAGAGTTTACCCCCCCCCCAAATCAGACTTGCTGAAAAAGCATTGTGAAGTGATTTGCTCTCTACAGCTAGGTTCAAGAATTAAATGTTGGTTTTGGATTTCTGCTATTTTACCTATTGACCCTGGAAGTATTTCTACTGAAAGTCAGATAGTTAAGAAATTGGTTTCTGTGTTCTGGAATCGTGGCCGTGCTGGAGAGCCGCTCATGGGGGGGCAACTGTTGGCCTCGGTAGGGTGTGAAGGGCGGACCGAAACGCCCCCCTTATGGGATCTTTTTTTAATTTAATTTTTTTTTATTAGTGAAACACCATGAGGTACAGTTGTTGACTTTACAAGTTTTTTGCCTGGGTTTCAGTTATACAATGATCGAGTACCCATCCCTCCACCAATGCCCGTTCTTCACCACCAATGATCCCAGTATCCCTCCCATCCCCCCCTAGCATCCGGTCTCTGTGGCAGGGCATTCCCTTTTGTTCTCTCCCTTTGGGTGCTGAGGTTTGCAAAAGAGGCATTCAGTGGCATTCATGTTCTGCCTATATTCTATTTTCAGCATGCATCTCCCATCCTGGGAGGATCCTCCCAACACCCTTTACTTGGTGTTCCCTTCTCTGTCTGAGCTGCCCTTTCCCGTAGCATGTGCGGCTGGCCTCCAAGCCATGAAGTGAAACTGCTGGTACTTATGTCGATTATTCTTGGATGTTAGTCTCCTATTTTGTTGCTTTATATTACCCAGATGAATGCAATCTTTCTATGTCTGTCCCTCTCTTTCTGACTCATTTCACTTA